TTGTGTTTTTCCACCACATTTTTTCCTTGCTGAACATTGATGAATATAAAACATGTTCATGTGTGGCCACTGATTATCTGACTAATGGACAGTTTTAGAAGATTAAATAGTAAATGGGGAAAAATGTATATTTTGAAACATTGCCAATAAATTTGAACATAGCAATGTATTGAAATTAAATTAAATGGCAGAACTTTTATTGTTGGAATGAAAACAAACATTAGTGAGACAAACATGTAGTGACCATAAACAAAGCTATTGTACATGATTGTTATCTGATTGGAAACTTTTTGTTCTCACCTTTTGTTTGTTCTGTGATCCACAGGAAATTCCTTCTCCGGACCAGATATTAAGCTGATCATCCCTGTTGTTGTTGCTGTGGTTGCTGCTGTGGTTGTTCTTGCTGTCATCGCTGTGATCGCATTCATTATTTACAAAAAGAGGACAGGTGAGAAACAAACTTCCTGGATTTTTCTTGTATAATGCAAACAACAATGATGACATAGTGCAAACAATAATAATGATAGTAAGAGTAATATGACTTAATTGAAGTCATTATTAACAGTTTTCAAAAGAAAACAAACAATGCACACAGGATTAAACAGGTAACAACCAAAAGCAGTGTAAGCTGAGTCCTCAGGTTAATATTTAAGTATTTTAACACTTTCTCTGCCAGCAGGATGATCAGACTCTTTTAAATCCTCAATATGTTACAACGATATTCATTAATCATGCTTGTTGTGTTACATAACTTGCCCCTTCATTTCTCTGCACTTGTAGATTTTTGTCCAGTTACTTCACTTTTTCTTCTTGTCTGTTATTTACTTTTTTCTGCATCGTTTTTCTTTCTGTCTTTGTGTTTTGTTTGTTTTTTGTTTGTTTTTTTGTTTTTTTACACCTGAGCTACAGTTTGGTTGTCCAGGAACAAAATAACCACCAACTCAGTTATTGAAACCCAAACATTATTTCTCTGTTCTTAACCATCAACTCTGCCAAACAAACGCATCCTAAGCTACACCTTTACCTGCATTAGAAATGTGTACGTTCTCTACCTTCAGTCACTTTACTTATAAATTTAACATGAGCACATGTTGTGGGAAAAGTCAGAATATATCTATAAACACATTAGTGAGTAAGCCCAGTGTCTATGTTTTTAATTTTACACATTAAATTAATGCTTTTGTCCAGATTACAAAATGAAAATATGAA